TGCTTTGGATGAGATGTGACTTTTGGAGATTACAGCTTCAGGTAAGAAACTCACTGTAAGGAAAATTTTAAAAATTCCCTCTATTTGTCCTTAGATTCTTTTACCATAAATAAATATTTATATACAGAATATATGCATGGACGATGTGTATTGACAGTTTTGGTCCCATAGCCCAAATTCTGAGGCAATGTGTTTGTAGCTGAACAAGAGATACTTGATGAAATGTAGCAGATTTCAATTCTTGACCAAATGTAATTGAATTAATTGCATGTTCAGTACTGTACAATTCTCTGTTGTGCTGCTGTGATTTAACAAAATGTCTTCCTGTTTTGGCTCTTTCCTTTGATCTTTTTTGTTTGTTTGTTTTTCTTCTTTTCCTTCTCTTCGAGCACCGAAAGGAGTAACCTATCGAGCTTTTGCTGGAGGATGTTATAAATGAAAATTTAGTAACCATTCCATCAGCTTTGTAACCTGGGCGAAGTGATGTGTGCATGGTAGGGGGTTCTTAGGGAAGACTGGAAGTGTGACTGAAATTTGTCACTCTGAGAGCTCCCACCTTGGTTTGCTCTCATTTCAATTAATATTTATCACCTGGGATCGGTGTAGATGTAATACAGATATCTTGAAGTTTTGGAGCAGAAGGGTTAGAAATACTTGACCTGCTAAAATTTGCGTTTTCATTCACAAGTGCCAATAGAAAGCACAAATAACCAGTTTCTTTAGTTTCCTTATCAGCGTGAAAATTGAAGGTCTTTTGAAGTTATAGCAATTTTAACTCTTTAAATGTAGCTCTGACATATCATTGCCCCAACTTTCTGCTTTGAAAATAAACCATTACACTGACTTCCTCCCACCCCATTAAAATATCTGACTTCTATTCTGCATAGCCTTAAGAGAGGATCTTTATAATGATTTTTGGGTTTGTAATTCCATGACAGCAGTTTTCTTGGCAAGGAACTGAGCTTGTAAATGACAAATATGAGGGTTGTTTTTGTTTTTTTTTTTTTTTAAAGAAGACTATAGGGAAATAGATAAAGTAGTCTTGTGGTCATGGTGGCACAGCAGGCAGCTGTAGTTCCTGAGCAAATTGGGGTGAGGTGAAATGAATGTTTCTGAAAGGCTTAAAAAAAAAGAATTGATTTAGGAAAATATGGAATAGTTAAAGAGAAAAAAAAAGCATTTGAACACTCTTCAGTCTTGGTAATTTACCAAAGAGCTGCCTATTTTTTCATTGCTCAGGTTTTATTTATGTAATTTTTCAATTTGAGCAACTAATAATCCCCGAGGCAAAAGAAGTAACATGACTAAAATAATAATAAAATAGAATTAAATACCTGTCTCTGAATTCTGGTCTTAAGCATCCATTTTTATTTTATTCATGGTAGTTGTTTGTTTTATGGATATACTCTACTATAGCTTATATTTCTGATTGAAAGCATTTTTCAGGCTAAATGTAATTTATAAGTAGAAGTTTTGTTCCAACATAATTTAAATGAAAAAACCAGAAGCTGTTGTGGGTTTTTGCTATGTGACTGTACCAAATGTGTAGCGTGAAGATCACTGAGTGTGTTATTTCTTGAATCATTGGGATTGCATTACATTACCATCATTATTATCATTATTATTATTATCTATGGTTGTACTGCCAAAATATTTAACCTGTGAGCACACATCACTTAACCAGTTACAAAGAGAGATAAAGGAATCTATAAATTTTGCATTTACAAGATCCTGCACCGAAGGCATTGTAAGTTACTCTTTCTGGGCACCGCAGGTTCGAGCAGCACCGACATTAAAGAAAACCGCAACGTGGACAACGTTCCCCCCAAAGACAGCGGTGGGACAGGGGCCGGGGAGGGGACACAGCTCTCCAACGGCGGCAGCAGCAGCAGCAGGAAGAGGCCTCTGGAGGAGGGCAACAACGGCCATTCCAAATTTCGCCCCAAGAAGAGAAAGAAAACGCCCGGCCCCGTCCTGCCCAAGAACGCCCTGATGCAACTTAACGAGATCAAACCCGGCTTACAGTACAAACTGCTCTCCCAGACGGGGCCTGTCCACGCCCCCATGTTCGTGATGGCCGTGGAAGTCAACGGGCAGGTGTTCGAGGGCTCTGGCCCCACGAAAAAGAAGGCCAAGCTCCACGCCGCTGAGAAGGCTCTGCGGTCCTTCGTCCAGTTCCCCAACGCCTCGGAGGCCCACCTGGCCATGGGCAGGACTCTGTCGGTCAACACGGACTTCACGTCCGACCAGGCGGACTTCCCCGACACCCTCTTCAACGGGTTTGAGACGCCGGTCCCTTCCGACGCGTCCTTTTACCTCGGCTCCAACGGGGACGGCTCCTTCAGCTCCGGCGGGGAGTACGGTTTGCCGTCGGCTGCTGTGGCCAGCAGCCTCTCCCAGTCGCCTCTGCCCCCGCCGTCCCCCTACCCCACCGCCAGCGGGAAGAACCCTGTCATGATCCTCAACGAGCTGCGGCCGGGGCTCAAGTACGAGTTCCTCTCGGAGAGCGGGGAGAGCCACGCCAAAAACTTCGTCATGGCTGTGGCCGTGGACGGTCAGACTTTCGAG